TGACAAACGTGACATTCTGTCATGACTTGCATTAACAAATATTGTTGTCTCTCTTTTTTCCAAAGTGAACGAGAGAGATGACTAATCAAGTGCTTCGATAATCCAAATTTATAGTTAGTATAAGAAATAGACATGTCATGTTGTGGAAACTGAATTCAATGGAGTAATAGTGGTGCTAATACGAGGAAAGTAATTTTTGAAAAGTCCGCTCTTAAACTTTTAATGTATGTGTTTTATGTACGAGAAGATAATTGACATTTGTAAGAAATATTACATGAATTTTAACAATTCGATTGTGTTTTATTTATTATTTGATCCAAAGACTAACATTACATAGAAGAAATTGAGTAATGATTTCGTTTCGTTTCGTTTCACGCAGAAATAAAAGTTTTGACAAATAAAAATTATTTATTTATGATCTTAATAAAATTGTTTAAATGAATCACAAATAATTATCGAATTATTTTAGTTAACATCTAGATGCATTTATTAAAACTAAATAAATTCGAAAGTGAAATTTTTTAATATATCTACAAAATTCGTTTGATTTTAAAATTTACGTCCATTAAACAGTTCATTTCATGACAAACGATGTTATAAAGTTAAATACTAAAGCAAAAATGCAATAGTGTGCAACAGATAAAAAATACAACAGTAACAAAACTTTTTAAATATAGCGTGAATATATCTAAGGACACCTAGATAACAATGAATTCTATAAAAAGAGCTTACATTTATCATTAAAATTGTCAACAGCGTCACAAAGAGATAGCTAAAGTTGTTTCATACAAAGATATCAAGCTTACTACAATATCACCTACTACGAAGGCATTCTTTTAAAACTAATATAAGAAAAGTCAAACAATTTTATATTACAAATAACAATATTAGGCCTCACCCACTGGTCCTTCGAAAGCAGGAAAAGTGATAAGACGATGCAATATAGTACCACAAAATGTCAGATTCGATATTTTCGATCGATCGTGTCGAATTAACCGTTGCTAGCTGAGAACAAATTCTCTGCATTAAAAATATCGTCATCCCTGTCATTATCTTTGACAAAACAGCGATAACAATATGCTTTAAATTGGGGTTTTGGTATCGGAAACCCATTGAAGATGCTAACTTTCCCGCCATGTCACCTTTACTGCTAACGTAGGACAACTCTGGAGTTTTATGTTATGATAGAGCCTAATATAACAATTATCAGATCTATCTACGATATGAAGTAAGTCGCGAGGTCCCATTCGTAATATTTTGGCAATTCCTTTCATATCCTTGACACTATTTGGCATTACTTTCTAACCTTCCTTTATTGTATCCTCATTTTATAAACACTTAATTTCACCAAACCTCGAAATAAGTCCGCGCTTTTGTATTACACTAATTGTTATTGAAATTGTTCGCTAGTTTACATCTAAGATGTCACAATTTATTACATTATAGCACTTCACTTTATATTTGACTGATGGAACCGAGAGACTGTCGTCTTCTGTTCACCTGCTTCCAGAACCGTTTGTCCATGTGCTTCTCCTGGAAGAAAATAATATTACACAAAATTTTCTATTGATTTTCACTCATTTCATATTAGTGTGTGCGATAGATTTAAACAAAGGATGTGTTGTCCTAAATGTGCAACACCGTGCTATGTGATCCAAACTTTATGACGTCCCACAATTTCAAAACTGCAAGAAGTAAAGGTGTACGGGGAAACGGTTGTGCGCAAGTTTTCCACCCCCCGCAGTGGATCCACTGAGTACCCACTCCTGCTTGACTAATTATGGGCCGCCATAATGCTCCACCATAATTGTTTTGCTCATAAAAAATATTTTAAAGATAATTAGGAGCAGCTTAACTCACGTATAATCGTCCGGTGACCCACTGAGTGCAATAGGGGACGGGACTACGAAGAACCCTAAATAAACACTCGCTCTAAAGATGGACCCCCGACGGGTCCAAAACTAGTCAGTACCGTAACCAAACGATTAAACGTGAGTTAAGCGGTTCCTAATTAATTTAATAGTATCAAGATAGTTGAAACTATGTTAAATATACAAGTTAAGAAGATATATGTTTGTGTGAGGTATCAGGAAAGGGATGCTAAGCGGCAGGGTGAGTGAAAAGCGCAATGGATTTTTTTATTAGAAAATATATTTTAATTAAAAATCGTTCCGAATAAAATGGACAGATCAGTTCCATAGAACAAAAAGGTTAGCGTATATTTATTCAAACTTTCGTGAGACATTATAATAAACTTTTATAAAAACGGCTAAACACTCATGTATATTTGTCCGGTGGCGGCACCAACTAGTTTCTAGCCCATCGGGGGCCCTTCATCAGGGTGAGTGGGACTGGTATTATTTCGCGGACGCGGCCCCCGATGGGCTCGAAACTAGTCGGTGCCGCAACCGGACGAATATACGTAAGTGTTTAGACGTTTTTATATAAGTTTAGCGTATATTTAAGCTGGAAATTATTAATAAAGCAATGGACATTTTATAATAGCGTTTGCATATTAACAATTGTAAGTCAAGAAAAACTTTTAGTTTCCAATTAATTTAAACATCATACAATTAAGTAATAACATTTTATAATAAGTATATCCGAAAGGCATTCAAGTTAATTTTGACTAATATCCTAATTACTTAATTAATTATTGTTCTAACAATTTTGAATTATGACTTAATTATTTGTATTGATTTAACTGCACTTTATTTAAGAGTGTCTTTAATTGGAGTAGGTAAATTCTAAAAAAAAAACTATAAATGTGTAAAAGTCTATTGGCATTCCAAGTAATTGTGTCTTCCTTATTTGTATTCCTCTACTCTTAATTTACTTTAATACGTTAATTATTACGATTTTAAGCTTTCGTGTTAACTGCCATAAGAATTGCATAAGTACCGCTAAATTTCAAGGCAAAGACATTTAACTAATTTTATATTTTAATAAATTAACGAGACATAAACATGTCGTCATAGCACAATAGCCCCTTATAGATGGCTAAAAATTACAGGTAGACTTAATTAGAATTAACCACAAGTCAAAAAAGTTGTCGCTGAATTAATTGGGACAATGGATTTACCAAGTATGTACCGATTTGTTATTTCATGTTATGGCTAATAGCGTCACTTTTTTAATAATTATTAGTATTACGATTAGCTACACCCACGCTTAGAAGCTAATGTGTGTAGGTGAGATGTTCAAAGGGAGCCATTGACAAAGCAAATCTTGTAATAGCCGTGGTTGCTCACGGTGGTGCGCCGGGGAGAGAAGGGCCGCTCGCCGCCCGGCATGAACGGCTCGCGGCGGGGGCTATCGGATGACGCTCGGCGCCGGAGGAAACCCAATCTGTAAACATAATTTCATTTGAGTGTGTAGCTGCATATTCGCCAGACCTAGCTTGTAATAAGCTAGCTAGGAGTAAGACGGCTTAAGGTTATAATTGCATTGACAACAATGTAAAATTTGAATCAGTATGAGATCTCTTTTCTGTCAGAAATCATCGGATTAACTGTTTATTTCGGAAATCACGTCCTGTTAGCCTTATTAACTTCAACTAAGCCGCGACCCCTTCGTTTCTTTCCTTTGCTTTGATTCGTCTTTTTGGGGATTGAAAATTGTGATCTTTTTATTGATTGGTTTAAAATGGTCTTCACGTATGTCAATTTTTACTGTAAAGAAATACATATCTTGTAATGAATTGAACTTAAACAAAGTGTTGTACACGTACATCTTCCCGTTCTGGCATTGAGAGCGCGTCCGCGAACGCATCGTCTGAGCTTCCACTCGTGCCAGTTGCTCCATCTCCATAACTTTCTCGTTTTCTGGAACTGAATGTTTCACAAATATCGTTTGTTGTAAAAGAAATGCAAAAATTGTCGGTCAAAAAATTTTCATTGAAAGTTGATCGTTTTTTTAATTACAAAATATTCCACAATGGCCTCATTTCTGATATATTGCTATATATACTTACGCTTCCAAGCATATACAGAACTGCGCGAAGTAGTATGCGGGACGGTGCGGCGAGGGTTCGCGCGGCACAGAGTCACCGCGTCGGCGCTCGCGACTCGGCGCAGCAGCGACCGTTGGCACGCCACGCGAAACGACCAGGGGTCGGACACGCCACCCTGCTGCATTTCCAAGAGCAGGCAGAACATATACAGATTTATCTGTAAGACTCTTGGAGAATATAAGTGATTGACACTTGAAATAACTAAAGTAATTTCTTTGTTCGAGATTCAACTAAAAATTTTCCGGCTTTAAAGCTTTTTTCGTATACATAACCAATTTAACAGCCTTCTTGAGAGTATAACTAGTAGTAAATATCCTAGTAATATTTGATAGGAATAATTTCGATAAGCTTGCGGCCAACTACTGATACTGGAGGGGGCACTAAAAGAAAAACCTGTTTACCTCCTGTTCTGCCAGCATGTCCTTGCCCTGGTCCAACGCCAAGCGCATCTCGGCGCGTGGGCTGAGCCGCTCCTCCGGAGACCGCGGCCTGGTCTCCGGCGGGCTCGGCTCCGGGACTGAGGGGGGCTCCGAAGCTGGCACCAAACAAATTTACAAGAGTAAGCTTCACGTAACGCTTCAAGCAGAAGACGACTTCTGTACCATAAAACTAGTAAAGTAAGGTCCCATAATTCATAAAATTTCATGGTATTCATAGACTGACCTGGTGACAGCTGATGTAGTGGCGTGGCCGTCGGGTTGTGTATCGTAGTACGCTCGAGTGTGGAGGGCGTGCTGGCCGAGCTGGCTGAGCCCCGACGACCGCCAACACCAGCACCGGCTCGTTCCGCACATTCTTTTGAAACTAAACACAACACATGTCGTTGCATGTCATTAAAAGAGTAATAAGTTTTAGCGAAGTCAATTTTTTTTTCAATATGCTTTTATTAATACTATTTGAAGAAAAATTTTGTTTACCAGATTGTAAGGGCATCGAGGGCGCTTCGTTGGTTGGCGTCCGCTCTGGGCTCAGCTCTGACGCGGCGGCACCACCGGCCGCCCTTCCAGCATCCCGTGCGTCGCCCGCACCCCCGTCCTCTGCTGCTGGTAACATCCCAATACTAGCAGTCATCACACGAATAGCAACAACAACTATTACTATACAATATTAATATAGAATGCTTGAATCTGCTATCGCACTCATAGCTATTATTGTGCATTTAAAAATAAAAGTCTAACAAAATGGTACAGCTGCGAAGATGTCAAGAATAATTAAAGAGATTAACATTATTTACAAATATTGATATTTATTATATGATTGCATTTAAATATTTAAAATGAAAGGTGGGTGAAATGCCTGCAGACAATGTTCATGCTGAGCTGACAAAATTAGGTATGGGATAAGAGACATTAAGCAAATTATACTGCTTACATTTACGGTGTTTAAAATACAGAAATCATGCATATTTCATGCTTCTTCAGTATTCATGTTAACTCGTTTATGTTGTGATTTGTGGATACCTTAAAATCCTCTATTTAAGAAAATATTTTATAACAAGGTTTGGTTCTATGTTGTAAGATGAACATAGATTCGTTAATATTTGTGAAAATGTCTGAAAGATCTATTAAACAAAAGTTACTTACAGAAAATACGTCATGAAATCTAAATGCTTGTGTATATATATTAATAATTTGTAGTGTTATAATAGTTTTGTAGTTATTGATTGTTTTTCGTTGTTACTCACCTTGGCCGGAAGCAGAGGACGGCAGGCGCGGCGCGTCGCAGCAGTCGTCAGCACCGAGGCCACGCCCGCTGCCCTGCGCCAAGCGCCGCACCAGCGGACCAGTCACAACGTGAGACATAACCTAACTACTGTCTACACCTCAAAGCGGTTTGCCAATGATGATGTCGCCTCGAGACTCGATCACAAACTAACCTACAACTATTTACCAATGACAAATGTCAACAGAAGGTATTTGATATTTTGTTCCATGTTAAGTTGGACATTCTGAAATCTAGATACGCGGCTGTGCATCTGCCGTGGATATCACGGAGTCAATTTAAACATCCGTAGAAATGTCCACAGTTCATATGGTTTTAATTCAAAATGCTATCTACATTTGTGGTTTTTTCATCTCGTGTAATAGTAATCATTTTATCTATAAATAAATCTAGTCCTAGAAACAAATCACCGCAACTACGAGTCCGATATTCCAATGCCCTTATGCAGAAATCGTGCAATGATACATGCTTTTTTATATTTAAGGGATTGGGTTTAACAACATGCTATGTTTGTATCCTACATTATTCATCTATCCATTTTAACATACTCGGGTACAAATTCACACGACGACACATAATTGGTACAGGACTACCGTTTTAAAACTAAATTAGTTTTTGCTCTTTCTTACGTCGTCTCCTTTCATGTGACTGATGATTTTAGCAACTTTATAAAGTTCATTGAAGATATTCACCTGGTCATCAGAATTGGTAGGGGTAGGCTTGTTATCTTCACTCTCACTGTCAGAAAATTCTTCTTCTAGTAAAGGCTCCAGTCTTCTCCTAAAAACATCCCTACGTCACACATTATGAGTTAGTTTTTTTAATTTTTTTATAAAAATAATTTAAATTAGCATCTACGTAAGCTAAATGATTAAAAATTACATTGAAGCGAATTTGGGAGAAATGTGCAATAATACTCCATGCAAAATGTGAGGTAAAATGCAGGAAATTGCTTAACTCAGAGATAAAGCCGCTAAAAAGCTGAATTTGTGTAGATTAATAATAACCTTACCTGGGTAATAATGGTCTTAACGTCGTAGGACCAGTTAGTGTGGGTGCCATCAATAGTTCGTCCATCATAAGCTCAGTGTCATCATCACCAGCGTACGACGATGATGACTTAGTTGATGACTGCAATGGTAATGCTTCTGTTCACACAATTTTAACACAACTACAACTTTAAGTTAACAATAAGAGGTATACAAGTCTGTGTGTCAAGTTTTTATCAAACCAACTCATTATCACAAGAAATGGTATGAGGTTTTCAATCTCTGAAGTTACGTATTTAAGTGGAGTGTTGTTAAACTAACTGGCGACTAAAAAACAAAATTAACCTATGTATTCTGCCAGGCTATGTTCTATATCTATGCTTTTTACACTATGCCTGACATCCATGCAGCGATTCTGGAGATACCTTTAAACATGCATGCATCCTTCCATCTAAACATTCACATTTGTAATATTAGTAAGATTAGATGTTTGTTTAATTTTAGTCTACATATTTAAGATATTAATACAAATTTTCTAACCGAAAGCGTTCCGTGATCAGAATCGGGAAGATTGTCTGATAGGTCTCCAGAGGATGGTGTTCCCCACGCTTCTTCACCGCTCGCACCACTTCCTTCACCAGTCTCAGCTGTACCTTCTTCAGTTCCCAATGTAGACTTCCAATCACTTACACCCAAACACCTGGTTAATAAATAATATATTATTATTAATAAGTGTATACTTATGCTCATGAATTGTAGCCGTAGAACTCCACTGCCGCGCATGTTTAAAAGTCATGTCTTTTATTCGTTCTGACAAAACAGAGACTAATGTACTTCAATAAAAGTGTTACGACAATGGAACTCTACGGTAATATCGCTAATTAAAAGAAAAATTTATATTTACAAATATTTAACTTGCTATTCGCTAATAAATTGATGATCCTATTTCTACTATCAGCATTAAAAACATCGTAATTCTTTAACTAGTAACTTTCTAATGTAAACGGACGCTAATTTTTAATTTAAGAAAAACTTTAAAGTATTTAAACTAAGTAGTATTCTGAATTGTAGTTACAAATCAACTATAACTAAATTATGTATTTTAAACTTCCCTTAAATGCTTATAATTAAACATTAAAAGTAAACTAAAATCTAAGGCTTCAAATATCTATAAGATATTTTACAATTTGTTTCCTATAACTCCCTAATTTAACAGCTAGAAAAAACTTTTCAAAAAATGTAACTTATTTTAAACAAAAATAAATATCGAAAATGTTATAAAATTAATCAAAAGAGGTTATAGTATAATCAAAAGAGGATATAGTATAATTCAAGCTATAAAACACACAAAAATTTAAATTATTTTTGAATCTTCACACAACATACTTATCGAACTTTGGTATCTTGAGTCGTCCACCTACGATATGAAAGGTAACATGATTACAATATAATATAAACTTTTTATTATTCTTTTACAATCAGAAATAAAATATCAGAGAGGTATTTAAAGAAAAAATAAGATAAATTAAGCCATTGACAATACGAACCATTTTAAAAACACTAACTTTATAATAAAAGAGCACTTGCTTATAATAATTAACGGTCAATGAAAATAACTTTTTCATACAATACAACACAGTTTATTAGTAATTTTTAAATTACAGGTCATAAGAGTGTAATATACAAAATCTTTATATATATAATTCTTCTGTGAGTGCGTATGTCACTGAACTTCTCTCAAACGACTGGACCGATTTTGATGAAATTTTTTGTGTGTGTTCAAGGGGATCTGGGAATGGTTTAGATTCACAATTTTCATCAAATATTAACTTCATATTAATTTATTCAAATTAAAGACGTGTAGACAGGACAACGTCTGTCGGGTCCGCTAGTTTCATATATAAAGCTTTCTCAATAAGCAGTGAAACATACCTTTCCAGGAAAGATGGTTGTTTATGAGCTATTGAAGTATTTGGAACACTTTCAGTATAACTAAAGATGTTCATTTTTTCTACAACGAATGAACCAGCTCTTGCGGTCCATCCCATTATACCACCCGCTGTACTGGTTGCTACCGTGTTTGTTGCTGAAACTAATTATTAATTAAGTAGTATACAATTATACACTGATGCTAATGTGTATATGTATACAAAATTTCAAAATATTGAAACTATAGAATAACTAGCTTTCGCAGAAGATTATTTCCGCGCGGAATTAAAGGAAAAACTTAAAGTGGCCTATGTGTTCATCTAGGCTATGTTCTACATCTGTGCCGAATTCGGGAGATACCTTCAAACAAACATCCACCCATCTTAACATTTATAATATTAGTAAGATAGTAACATAATATTGTGAATGATGATTTCAAATAAAGTTGAAAGTGAAGATATTGCACCTGAATTGTGTAATTTCGGCTCAGGCTCTTGTGTGGTCAGTCTTACGTTACCATCGTCCGTCTCATCAGACGGTAGTCTCTCGAGGCTTGACATTGTACCATATCTACAATGAATTTAATAATAAAAACATTTGCATTCAATTTAAATAAAATTAAAAAATTATAAAATAAAAACCTTTTTAATGAAACGTAGGGTAGGTCTTCAGGCACATCTGGTGATTCAGGTGAATCATCTATAATACCATCCTAAAAAGTAAACAGCAACATCTGTAATAGAGTTAACGAAATAACTCAAATTAAGTAAATAAACTTACAGTCTTATTTGTTGAATTATAATCAGGTGTGGGTGGAACTATAGATATATTAGGCACAGGTGATTCGGACTTCACTGAACAAAGGCTGGCCGGTCTTGAATGAATATTGTTGATGGTAACTTCGGAATTCCTTTTAAAAGGTTCCACTCGCATGAGATGAGCTGCAGGATTAATCGCAGATAACCCCATTAACATAAGTGGTCCCAATTCCAATTCCTCATCTGACAGTGTATCATTTTCATTTACGTTATTAATATCATCAATCATATCAGTCTTTTTACTTATATCTCCATTCATTTTACTAATAGTTGCTATTCCCATTCTCGGCGATCTTCTCATACCACGTTCTATTTTGAAATCATTATCGTCTTCGTGCAGTGAATCATCATCTAAGAACACTGAAGATGTTTTTAAACGTGTCCCAACATTTTCATGTTTTGTTATAATGTTCATTCCTAGTACTTTATTAAGTACATTTTCCGCTTTTTGTCTTGTTATTTGTTCCTTCTTTGCTGATGCAGGAGATGAATAGTTCGATAAAGATGATCGAGGTTTGCTTAAAGTAATACTTTCGACGCATTTCACTTCATTGATGTACTTCTCTTGTGCGATGACACACTGAACTTGATTAGTTATATTAGAATTAGAAATTCTTAAGTCATTAGAACTAGAATTAAAAACCATAGAACTACAAGTAGTATGACTAGTTGAGAGGGGACTATTTCTACTGCTAGAAGTAGGGCTAGGTGACATAATTGAATTGTCTTTTCTAAGTTCCAAGCGACTTTTTGTCCGACTTCGGCTCATGCCACTGTTTAAAATTGCAGAATCAGTGTTCAAGTCATATGAAGTCGATTTTAGCATCTTTTGGCTTTGTTCTATTGAGTCAATCACTTTTAAGGCGACTTTCGGAGCATCTTCGGGGCGTATTTTAATTGCACCTTTACGTTCTAAGTGGCAGAAAAACTTTTGTTTTCGATTATCACAGTTTGCACTACACGTGCTGTTGGTGCTTTTATTTGAAGCTGATGTTTGTGGTGACGTTTCGATTTTGGGCTTAGGTGTAATTGGTGGTTCCTTTTGTGATACTAATGGACTATTTGGTTTTGATAGGCATTTTTTATGGCACTGTCTACATACGGGTATCGTATCGACCACAACAGGACTAGTTCGTACCGTTATCTATAAAATAAAAAGAAAATTAAAAAAATTATGTTTAAAATCAAGTAACCATAATTTTTTTTGAATTATAAACTCACTTGGCTGTCAGAATTACTACTTTTTGAAGGACTTCTGTCGTTTTCCTTCTTTTCTGGCGATGATTCTTTTGTTTCATCATTCTTTGCCACAATATCGGCTACTTCTAATAAATTTAATTCTTTGGATCTCTTTCTCAATTCTTCTATGCTCCACATCTGTGGTAAAAAATCATAATATTGGTCATTTTTTGGACTTTAGAATGAGAATCAATTTAAATCAATGATATTAGTGACCTCCATATCAGGTTCTGGTGGATCTAATTCCTCTGCTTCAGGTAGTTGTGTCATCCATCTTTGCAAATGGAGTGTTGATCCTCTACTACGGGTACTTCTAGCTCCGTCTGCAGCACTGCCCGGTGCTCCCGTTTGTGTTTCAGCAGAACTACGTCTTGTTTGCTGCACAGACACAGTTTTTCAAACATGGATATTCAGATATTGAATTAAGTAGGTTTATGTTTGTACTTAAGCAAATATGTTTTATATGAAATTATTTAGGTACTTACCAATAAAATCGTGAAAAGTAAAAATTTCATTTTTAAAGGTTGTGAGTATTTTTAATTATGAAATTTATAATTTCAAGGGATTAAAAAATAATTGAGATTTTTAAAATAAAAATTATAAATATAACCTTAGGCAACAACTACAATTTTTTAGTAATATGTTTAGTGTAGTTACATTTTTTGTTAATTTATTATTTTTATTTACGTAAAAATTTTAGAGATTTTTTTTATGAATTATGTTAACGATTCTTTTTTATTATGACAACGTTATTTAATAAGACATTTTATAATTAAATAGTGTTGCTAAAAATTGTGCAAAAAAATAATTACAGTAAAATAAAACAACACAATGCGTCTTAACATGCAAGTATTTTGTTTAATTTAATTCTGTACTACACTGAAAAATGGTAGGTCGGTAATAAATAAAATATAAAATGTTCGTCGTCGAAAACATTTTAGGTTTTAGAGATTGCAAAATAAAAAAAGGGTTTACCACTGACAATATTTATTTACCCAATAGAAATATATCAATTGAAACGAAACACAAACATCAAAATTCACCTTTACTCCAAGATGTGTGTCAACAAGAAACCCAGACGAAAATATTTTCTCAAAATTATCATCAATTTTTTTAATCACACACAGCCAAAGATATCGAAAATGTTCGATTCTAACTACGATTATTTTTTTATAAAAGACATACAAAAATGTCCCCGGAATAGGTTATGTGAACATTTCACGATAATAGCGATTTTATTAAGTATGCATGGATTTGATGCGTACAAATCAAATATCATCAACTACATTCAACACGATTCGACTACCATTTTTCATTGTAACACATATGATGATAATGTTAGCGAGTGCTCGTATTAAAAATAAAGAAGCAATAATATATTTAAATAAAAAATATTTTAGTGTAACTCTATAATGGATTACATGAGATAAAAATATCGCGAATTTAATCGCCAAATATCCACATGACCTGTACAAAATGGTAACACTAACATTAACTGAAATTTCACATTTATAACAATATCATTAGACAGAGACATACTTATTTACCGCGAATTAACATATACTAACATACATATGATGCATTATACTAAACTGATATATAAACACGGCTAAACACTCACGTATATTCGTCCGGTGACGGTACCGGACGAATATACGGCACCGGACCGCCACCGGACGAATATACGTGAGTGTTTAGCTGTGTTTATATATCAGTTTATATATATGATGTTACAGAAACACATGGAATAAGAAATAAGTGATTCAATTGCTACAGATAAAATACTAAAAAAGGACAATGCATCATAAGAAAAGGACGGAAGACTTAAAAAGCGACGAATCGTAAAAATTAATACGTAATGAAACCGTATTAGCTACTAATTGGTACCCTATATTACATTTGACACAGTGTTTTTGTAAATTGTAAAATGTTGGCATACAAATTGGAAAGATCAAGCAAAACCAGAGCTTGATATTACAAATGGGATTTTATCAAATACGTTTGGGAAGGTATCTAATAGTATCTTACTTGTTTTAGGGGCTTAAGTTCTAGGAATAACGCATTTTTTATTCAAAATAGTCTGAATTATTTCTTTTAATATCGTTTACGTTCGAAAATATGTCTCTCAAAATTTACTACCACAACCTTGATTCTCATAAATGAGAATATTTTTCAATCCAAGTTAATTTTTTTCAAGTTACGTTGCAAATATAATTCTTTGTCGAGATTGTCAGACTTTTTCAAAGGTAGGACCAGGACGTGAATTTAAGTTAGGGCAAAACAATAAAGGCTCACCCGAGGGGAATTCTTTTGGTAAACCACCTAACTGAATTTCCTATTTAGGATCCGATGTAGGCAGGCTTCTGCCAACTCCGGATCCGACTCCGCGGATCAAAGTTCCAAGTACGCTGGCGGTGTCGGCCGCTCCGGTAAAGCGACGCGCGGCAAGAGTGGGTCATCGGGAAGAAATATACATTCTTCGACGGCATGCTTATAGGAGGGGTCCACGTCTAAATCGGCTAAAGCTAGATCGGCCTCGAAGGATTCCCATCTACAAGGAGACACTTCCGAATAATCTTCACACCCATCGGATGTAACCTGTGCACTGGGAGAAGTAGGTCTCTCTTCGTTCTTTTCGATACTGGAGGAAGACACAAAATGGGAAGAGAAAGTTTGCGAGTCAGCAGGGGAGAGATTAGCCGAAGGCGTTTCGGGAGTGGGCGCGGTCTTCCACACTGAACTTAGTGGACCTCTAACGGGTTGAGGAAGGGGAGACTCGGAGTAAGGTCGAACGTCGAAACTAACTCTAACTTCTTTTTCGGGTCGTTCTTCTACCAACATATTAAGATGTGACCGATACGAGCTGGCTGGTAAGAGCGCCATGCTCGAGTGACGTTGGATGCTGGATCCTGATACCTGGCGTTGTTGAGAGTCCAGGGTCCCCAGTGAGAAGGTGAGCTGTGGGTCTGGTGAATCTAACGGAGATCCGAGTGGAGTCCCGGACATTGTGTGCGCTCGATAACTGGAAAGACAACATTTCATATAACAAACAAATCAACAAACAAATGGTAAAACATTTAGTAGCGTTAAAGGAGTACAAAGTATTGATATTTACATTTGCCTTTGAAGTAGACTTTGCCAGACAGCTTTTAAGTCTATTGACGGCGCGCGTAGAACAATAGGACGGGATCTTCCGGGCGTTCTGGGAGCGCAGGACACTAATGGACTTTCTCCGCCCGCACGGCCAAGTATGAGGCGGAATTCCGTTGCTAAAAATAAAAACATTTACAATAAAGTACTTATCGTTTTAGTCAATCCAGTTTCTTTTCTACTTAAAGACGATAAAAAGGCTAGTAAAATTCACATCGACGCTTAACATCCGATTCTTGTTGAGCTATGGATTTTATAATATAGAAAAAAAAGGATTCTGGTAGATAAATCGCACTTACCTTTTTTCCTGATATTAAATTGAGCTTCCGATACCGATGCTAGTGAGACCGGCTCCTCGGTGACAAAAAGCACTCGGTCTCTTGACACGGTGGCGAACAGAAGAAGATCGCTAAACAGGAGCGCCCAGTACGGTCTGACCGCTCTACCTTCTACCCTGGACAGCTCACCGCCAAATATCCACTGCCTACCTGCAGTGCTTAACACGAAGGGCTGAAAACAACCAATATAATTAGATTTTGTCGATTAACAAATGGCAATCTACTACATTGGTTATTAATTTTGATACAATACCTTACACCTAGTGAACACCAGTCTACTCTCCAGATCAGCAACAGACAGTAAAGGTTTGCCATCACCAGCTAATCCCATTAACCCGGAACCAGCGGTGACATCTTGATAACTACTCTGAAATGGAATAAACACAATTTTAGCATTTAAATCGTCGGTCACTATCAAAAACTTAAAGCTGAATCAAATACTATATTCAATTATCATGCCAACAAAGAAGTTATTACCTGCAATTGTTCAACGATGACTTGTAATTGCTTTTTCTCCAGTTGATCGTAAGGGCCGGCGCCATTACCGATGGCGGCAGCGCGCATGAGTCTCAATAATTCCCTGAACTGCTCCAGCGGTTTGTGCACCAGTGACGTGATGTCGGGTCTTCTCCTTGGTATTGGAGGACTGGTACAGAAGCGCGAAAACGCCCCACTTGGGTCCTTTGATTTTTTTACCTGAAAGTAGTGGAAGTAATTAAGAAAGGTCCTATTTGGTGTTGTGATATTTTGTAGTTGGAAAATCACTTTTGCAGATGCACTTATGGGTTTTAAGTTTATGAATATATCTTACCAATACACAGTCAGCTCGTTTAAGTCCTAAACAATATTTCTTATAGAGACTAAGGAACACAGGGGTCTTTTGTAAGTATACCGCAACCACCGTTGAGGTCTGTATTTCTCCGTCATCTTGCACTACTTGGTCGAGAATATCTTCAGACAACCTGAAGATCTGTAATGAATAGAAGAACAAAAAGTTACCAATGGTACTGATATTTAAGACTTTCTTTTTGGCATATTCTTTGCTAAACAATTTTATTAACAAGGGTATAAATTATACAACGAAGGACATTCTATTGTTCATGGAAAGCTTAACATAGCTTATCTTAGTCTATTTGTCCTATAAAATTATTGGTAAGGCATCAGTAGCCCATCTGTATGTTACCGTATCCATAGAATTATGTGATTTCGTGACTTATCAACTCTAATCAGCTCCTCATTTAAAAAATTCCTAGCTTCCTATCTCACCTCTTCAATATTCTGAAACAGTAGCTGATGGTCACTGGGGGCGATGAGGTCAGCCCTCTCAGCGAGAGGTGAGACGAACCTCACCAGACCAAACTGGAGGCATGTCGCGTAGTGCTGCTCCCGCGCTACCACGGCGAGGAGCGCGCGCTTTCTGCCGTCAGTTGATGCCCCTGGTGTCTGATAACATGGAAGTAATAGGTACCATAACGTCTTTTACACATGCACATGACTTGGTCAATCTGTCTTGTATGGTTATTGAGAGTTTGTTTTAATGTATTTAGTTTCTACTGTGAATGTGCAAGGATTCCACAATTATGTTAATCGTTGTGATTTTTTTAGCGAACCGATTTTTTAAGACGTGGATTGGTACTTGAATACCTTTATTTTATATTTTAAAATACTATCATATTGTAGGCTTGTGGTAGGAATTGTTGGACGCTTAGTTGAATGGCGGATCGTGATTGGATGTCCCTACATCTAATAACATAGGTAGTCTATTGATGCTTAAAAATTGTTCTTTCGGAGTCAATATCCAATATAGCCTCGTAGCTTTAATATGTGAAAGGCTTACCGTTTACTAATCGTGGTTTTTGGATGTTAAAAACGGTTATTCTTTTATATTTAAATAAAAAATATTTCCATCACAATGGCTTCTTTGTTTCTTTGGTTGCATATTAGAGTTATAAATATACTTGAAAAATTTCCTCACAATAAATAGGTTACACGACTTTTTGATCGTGCAATTTCAAACATAACTGATTACAGCAAAAACAAACTTTTGAACGAAAGTAACATTTTTGTGAATTTCGTGAACAGAGTGATCCATTTTAGTATACCCGATATTAATAATTGAATTTGACGAGTAAGAGTGTTCCGAAAAAAAGAAATAAAACGGAAAATAATCAAAAGCAAAAAATTTATTTGCACTTAAATAAGAAACATAAATTAAAGAAAGATAAATTAAAGAAAAAAAATGATAATATTAACAGGAATCAAACAAAATTAAATCAAATATTTATTACAAATCATGATTACAGGAGGATACTTCGACCAAAAATCATGTACAAAAATATATTTTTCTATTTTTTTTTATAAATCAGAGATATGTTTTTGTACATGTATTTTAGTAGAGGAAACCACCGGTTTTATTAAACAAAAACTATACAGCAACACAAAACTAAAACTAAAATGAAAAAAATATTAGAAAAAAAATATATTCACAAAATAAAACACGCTGTATGTGACAAATGAAAAAGTAACAAAAAAAATAACAAAAGAGAGTTTTTCTTAAACGTAACAATTCCCCATTTGCGAATAATTTGATAAAACCTTATATACTTAAATTAAAAGTAACTGTACATTAAAAAATTAAAAAAATATATAAACAAATCTATACGTAATGGAATGTATTACGAAGTCTATAACATGAACTTAAAAATAAATAACATAGTACCCTAAAACTGTACAAAACAGAACTTAATTAAAACTAAAACAAAATGTGCACACAAAAACCATTATATCCTAGATTTAAATTAATAAAGAAATCTACTAAGAATAGTCTAGCACCACATTAAATTTTGATTTCTAAAAAAGAATTAATTTGAAATTTTCTACACATGACTAGCACGAATTCAAATTCGAAACATTAAATTCAATAGTCCAAAAGTTCATACATAAAAAGTATACATGTAAACGTTGTAAATGCTAAGTGGTACATACAAAAAAGATACAAACTCGCAGGGTTTTGAACACCCTAAAATAGTTTAAGATAAAAAGGCAAATTGAAATCTTTTTTATTATGACTAACGACTACTGAACGAAGACCGAACCGCCCGCAGAATAATTCGCAGTGAAGTGAGTTGACATGTAATATGGAAAATTTGAGATACGTAGACCTGTCATTACAGTGAACTCAAGATCCTTGAAGATGTACAGCATGAAGAACATTGCATCTCAAACAATAATACCATTACCGACCTCCTTGGAGAAGGTGACTTGAGGCAGGTGCAATTTGCGTCTGTCGAGTGACTGGCTGGTAGATGAGCAAGCGGTAGGTGGTCGTGCGGGCGCGGGGGACGTCATTGCCACAGCGCGAGGCGAGCGGGGAGGGGGCGGCGTTGATTCCGGCGGCGGTGCCGACACTTGAGCCAGTCGTCGGATTCCCACGCCATTCTGTGGTACTCTTCTGAACGTTTCAAGTGTTAACGTTTGACCCGCTGATCTGGAATAAATCGGAATAGCTTTGTAAATTTATTTAGAAACTACAAATTAGGTCGTTTCATTTAGACAACTATCAGCAACTCATAAATGTAGAAGTATTTATAACACTTGGAGAGTAAGGATGTGAGTACTCACTTGACAAGGTTTCGTACGTCCTCCTCATTAGTAGTAACGACGTTTTTGTTGCCAACGAAGACGATGTAGTCTCCGGCGCGGAGGCCAGCACGCTCCGCAGCGCCACCTGCCGCTACGCGCTCCACTCGAGGTGGTCTTGTCCACACAACAGTGAAACCAAACCCACCACCTGTGCCGCGGACCAATCTGGAAAGATATAACTCAATATTAAAGCAGACTGAATTCGAAATTTTGACGCACACGACGGACATTTCTAGAGCTACCACGCCAACTTTTGAACAAAATTTTTCAATGAAATCATTAAAACTCGTTAATATTGCATTGTTTCTTCAATAGTAAATACTTGTACTAAAGGAATTAAGTTTTCTATTTAATTATTTTAAATAGTCCTTTACATTTCTAAATAGGTCGAGGATCATTTACATTTATAGTTTTTACTTTTATCATTGTTATACTTACTTCCTTGTGGTTGTGAATGGAGTCCTCCCGTTCCTTTGCGCTCTTCGCGGCGCTGCCGGGTCTTCAGGTGGGTCAAGTTCGAGGTATCTCAGGAAGAGGTGCTCGTCTGCCTCTCTTTGCAGAGCCGCGGCTACTGCCTGCGCTTGACTGCCGGACGCTGATGCAGGACCATTCGCTGCAACTGCTGGAAGATAGAACAGTTATATATAACCTATCTAGTTATTATTAGCCAAAATTCAAAGAATTTTGTAAATGGCCACAATTCCAGAACTTTATGGCCAAAACGGCTGTCTGTCTATAAGCCACGTTGTTACGGTTTTGCTGCGGATGCATGAATTTCTGGTATTCTATAATCTGAAGACTTAAGAAATGAATAACTATTATGGATTATTTCAGCTAGGCTTACCTTTTTCTTGGTTATCTTTAGCGCCTTCACTGGTGCTTGTCTCTGTATTATCGGTAGCCATGTTGCGACGATCGTCGGTCACGCGGTCCCTAGCGCATCTGTCAGGCGCGCCTTGCCGCCCCGACTGCAGGAAGTATGTGCCGTTGATGTCACTCTTAATTGCATCTTTTAGCGGGAACGAGACGCATCCTAGAAACTCGCTCCGCCTGTAACAAGAAAAAGAAATGTTCTCATATCATCATCAAGATAAATTTGAAGACGTCCACTGTTCCAAATTGTGTCGGGATGTTGAAACCAGTTAATAGGCAATTTTATCCATGGACACGTCTGTTAGCGTTTTGAGTCGACAGGTTACAACTGGTTCGGTAAGCCTCGGTTTCAGTTGCCTAGCAACCACAGAATATAGTACTAGAAGACAATTTATGTGGAATTATACAAGGTTAACTTTTATCAGGGCAGCATTGCTCGCGCCTACTAAATTACTCGACCACCAGACAGAGTAAGCGAGTACTAAGATGCGGTGAACGGAGCACCGAACGGTAAATGTTAAAAAAGTAAAATATTATAATTCTAAGCTATTTATAAAATCAATATTCTTCACGGATAAGTATGAAAGGTACATAAAGAACGTGCTTAATCTCCTTGTGAGATCTGAGAAAGCTTCCCTTCGTTCAATACCGATAAAACATAGACGGTTCTTGTTGAAATATTACTCGTAAATTCCAAACTCTGAATCAAAATAAGATTAAGTCTACAATGTTATGTAGGTATATAATGGTATAGGTTTTCTTTGTAGTCTTGTTTGCAGTATAAAATAATTTAAATGTTGGAACCCTAATGCCATGTGAATGCCACCTAATTCCAAGGCATGATATAAGTTAAATTTAATTCTTTCATAGAGTTTTGTTCCAGGAACTTAAAATAATGACTACTTAAGATATTTTTATAGTTTCCTAATAAACCAAGTAACAGTTTATTTAATTTTTAAAGATTACTTAAAATAAGGTTTTTTATACAAGAAACGACACCTACAGACTCTTGGTCCGTACTCTATTTAGCACATATACCTCATATTAAAGCTAATACCTTATGCTAGTTATTAGTATTTAGCAAAACAAGGTTTTAACAGTCAAGAATAATGTACCAAATAATTGACTTTCACGCCATCAATTTTGATTTAGTGAACATGATTTGGCGAAAGCTTGGATAAATATATAGAGAATGGTTTGATAGTAAGACGATGAGTTGTAGAAAATATCCGCAATGAATTTTCTTAATGCACCATGAATTTGTGCTATAAGATATAGGTAAATAGATTTGTAGCTCATTAGGTGACCGTGAAACGATAGCTTATACTTTTGTGATACATTCCTAATATTCGGGTCAATTTAAATATTTAATTATTGTTGATTCACAGACCTAAAACAGCATTGTAAAGTTGACGACATTTGCCTTATCCTACAATATATGTTTGTGAAACTAATTTTAACTGACCTGGGAGCCCAAAGAGGGGATTGAATAGACTCTTACTAAACTAGCTTGCGTCATTTAGACTTACCACCACGTTACTCCTCTCCAACTCCGATTAACAAACTGTTCGGACGGTGGTTAAGCGCAAGTTTCCTCATTGTTAAATATTCATAAATAGAATTTTTTAACACTTTTGCATTCACAACCTTTGTCTTGTTAATATTTCCGCGAATCGGAATCACTATAGGATAAGGTTTACAACCTTTTTCTAAACTTCAAACAACGTAAACCAATGAGTATTCATTAATATAACCATCTAATTATTGCCATGAACACACTGATCCCTTTATATGGATGGGCAATAGCTTTGAAATTACAGCGTTGTTTCGTTCCGATTCGCTTTCCGAAACGCATCTGTAGATATTACGTGACTTACCTCTGTCTATATTTTTAGTTCCAATCAACACCACAGCTACAAACAATCATCAGCGTCATAATGGCGGTAATCGAATACGCACAAAATATAACGTCTTACTGCCGATCCTAGAGGTCAGTATAACACAATAGTTATTTAATCATGAGGGGCGTATGATTGCATGTCGGCGTTATTTAGTATTCTTTACACTTGAAGAAAAAGTTCGCGTGACCCGCGCCACAACGAGTTAACATTTACAACCGCTATATTAAAAATGAGCCAAGAAAAATTGCTTTAAAAATATATTGTTGGTTACTAGTAGCAAGTTTTTTTTTATAGTATAGTGCGAATCGATTGCCAGTTATATTTAATGATAAAAAGTATTTATTAGCAATTTAAATCTAACGTTTAATTAACGTATTTATTATTTATGTTTATAATCTTTAAATAACGTTTAGCATAATGTTAATCTAGCACAAATCCTTATTTGAACCTAGTACTAGGCCAATTATAGATAATTATATTGCTATAAACGAATAGACGGTTAATTTTAAAAACTCACTAATTAAATTTTTTGCCTTTAATTTATTGCGCTATAAATGCAAACTCATTTGCAGTAAACAAGTTAAGTTAGTCGTATAAATAAAAATAATCATTACATCAAAATTTGTATTTCTACTTTTTCTTGTTTGTATACCATCCTGAAATATATACATAATTATGTATAACAGTAAACATAAACACAATATTGTATACAAGACATCTATACATTTTCGTGCAACTTCCATCCCTAAGGTGGTTCACACAAGCTTCTAAGCATGCAAGGGGCCTGTTCCACGAAGCCTGTCCCTCTTGTGCGGTTCCATGCGACTAAAGAGTGACAGGGGGGACACCGATTATTGACTTACGGCGATAGTTGTCACTCTTCATAAATAGATGTCGTTGACGAAGTCTCTGTCAGTCTATCGAGGATATCTGCAGGCAGGCTGTTCTTTCTGGTCCTAGGTTCGGGTGGGTCTCGTTCGGGTAAGCTATTCTTCCTGCAAAGCTCGAAGTGGCGATGTGCGTGTTGATGGGAGCAATGCTGACGAGGTACTGGCTCCTCACGCTTCGTCTGACTCAATCCGGCAACAGTTTGCGAGACAAAAGACATCGTCTATATCTCTCTTTCTCAGTGTTAAGTTAATAGTTTATCTTAATTGGTGTTTACTGAAAAATTGTAGGTTTTTGTTACTTGTATATAACCGTTTAAATCAGTCTTTCCCAAAGTGGGCAATAACGCCCCCTTGTGGGCGCTGCAGGTCTCACGTTGCGGGTAATAGTAAAAGTTTCGTTTAGAATTCTCTTTTACTATACATATTAAGGTCACAATAATTAATTAATTTAATTTGAAGTTATAGTGGTTTTTAAATATGTGAAAATATGGGGGCACTAAAAAAATATTTATTCTCAAAGTGGGCAGTAGACAAAATAAGTTTGGGAACCACTGGTTTAAATTAAAATAAACCGTTTTGTTGTTTTTTTACATCGATACAATAAGTGTTTTCGATGTGTCTAGGTCAAAGAGAAGTAAATTTAAACTAGTAAATGTAATTCTTCAAGAACAAATAAATATACATAAAGCTATGCTTAAGTAGATGATACTGATCTTACATAATTTTTTTTATAAAAGCTTTTTGATCACGACAGTACATAGAGGTTTTTTCCAACAAATGAATAAAGAACAAAGGCGATGGAAAATTAAAATATCACTGAACTGTCTTGAGCTTTTTTTTTAAAAGACAAAGCTAATGAATAGGCTGAATAAAGTCGAAAACGTTTGAAAATATTAATTAGTTTATTCAAAACACAATTACTTGTTTATATATTTTTTTCAATAGTGATGTAATCTTTTGATTTTTTAATAAGAGTTGGGATAAAATATAAATTTAACACTATACAAATCTGTTAAAATGGAAAATATCTTGATATAAAATATAACTTGATGACAATCAAAATATCTTTGAAAATTTTTTTACTAAAAAAATTAAAAAAAAAATTAAAAAAAAAAATTTTTAAGTCAAAAAAATGTTAACAAACATCTTTGCTAATATATAATTTAATGTACGAGAAATCGTATTAACGATTATATTACAAATAAATTTATATTTTCTTAATTCAATATATTATTTCCAATTCCCTTGACCGAGACTGAGTTTCCATGTCATGTATTCGAGTTTGTTTGCTTGACCGAAAGGCGACTTTAAATTACAAATGGTTGAAAAACACGCGACTATTCAAAATATTACCAAACTAAACTGCTTCTATGAATGCTTACTTTGATAATAATAACATTGTGTTTGTTAGAATCTATCATAAGAAAATACAACTTCAACTAAGACTGAAATAAAACATAAAATATAATACAGATATATTGCGGTCGGTTCTATTTGATCGTTCTTTCCTAACAACGTCATTTCCCAACCAATATACTTAATGTATTACATAATATACGAATATATGTAGGAAAATATTTCTTTCAAGTTATCCAGACTTTTCTACTTCAGATGTAATTTACTAATTGAATATAGATTAAAAAAGGTCCAGCAATCTAATTTGTACCTCTATAACATGTCATTACATCTCGTAATTCTTATACTGTTACATTAAATATATACATGTTACATATAATATAATATATATATATATATATATATAATTCTTCTGTGAGTGTGTATGTCACTGAACTTCTCTCAAACGACTGGACCGATTTTGATGAAATTTTTTGTGTGTTCAAGGGGATCTAGGAATGGTTTAGATTCACAATTTTCATCAAATATTAACTTCATATTAATTTATTCAAATTAAAGACGTGTAGACAGGACAACGTCTGTCGGGTCCGCTATCATCTATAAAATTCTCGTGTCACAATTTTCGTTCCCATACTCCTCCGAAACGGTTTGACCGATTCTCATGAAATTTTGTGAGCATATTGAGTAGGTCTGAGAATCGGACAAGATCTATTTTTCATCCCCCTAAATGTTAAGGGTAGTCCACCCTTAAATTTTTATTTTTTATTTTTTAGACAAACACGCGGACGGAGTCGCGGGCCACAGCTAGTATGAATATAAAAATATAGAAGAGATTGTTTGGGCGTGATAATCTTACTAATATTATAAATGCAAATTTTTAGGTAGATGGATGTTTGAATGTATCTCCTAAACTGATGAACTGATAGCGATGAAATTTGGCATAGATATAGAACATAGTCTGGAAGAACACAGGCTACTATTTTTTTTTAATTCCGTGCGGACGGAGTCGCGAGCTACAGCTAGTCTTAAA